TTATCTGTTTATAAAGCAATCTATCACTTTTCAAGCTGTTACGACTTCTTGGGAACATTGCCACAACTAATCAATCTAAGAAAAATATATCTAAAATTCAGATTCTTTACTTTTTTCATTGTTCATTTCCCTGTAATTCAATTTTGTCGTGTGGCCAGAAAATATTAAATATATTATGAGACTCATAAAAAAAAATAAGCTAATATAATTATAGTTAAAATAATATTCTGGTATTTACATCAATTACAGCAGTGTTTCAAGTTTAAACCAACTTATTATTATTATTTTTTTTATTTTTATTTTCTTTGATTTCTGGCGTTTACACATTTCTTTCCGGGTCCCGCCCAGGGACCTAAGGTTAGAAATGGCGTCATGACACTTTCCACTGACAAAAAAAAAAAAAAAAAAATTACATAGATAAAGCCCTTCGTAAGGTGTGGGCTGTACTTGTCAGAACTTATTATTATTATTATTATTATTATTATTATTATTATTATTATTATTATTATTATTTCCTTTGGTTTCTGGCGGGTACACATTTGTTTCCGGGTCACAACCAGAGACCTAAGATCAGAAATGACATCACGACATTTTTTACTGAGCATTTTTGAAAATAAAAAACCCTAAGATTACATACATTTTACATAGATAAAGCCCTTCGTAAGCTGTACTTGTGAGCACATTTTTTTGTATTACTTTAAGACTTGTGATACCAGAAATCGCTTAAATTGAGTCAAGCGGAACCTTTTCAAATCAAACCAAAGTCTCCAGCTTCAACTGACATTACTGACGTCTTTCACGTGCTACATTTTAGAGATTTTGATTTCAAGGCACTTGTACTTTTATAGTTTTATTATTATTATTATTATTATTATTATTATTATTATTATATTTTATTTCCTTTGATTTCTGGTGTGTAAACATTGCTTTCCGGGTCCCGCTCAGAGACCTAACGTCAGAAATGGCATCATGATATTTTCCACTGAGCAATTAAAAAAAAAAAATATATATATATATATATATATATATATATATATATATATATATATATATTACATAGATAAAGCCCTTCGTAATGTGTGAGCTGTACCAGTAATTACAATTTTCTTGTATTTCTTTAAGGCTTTGGCTACCAGGGATTCCTTCAATGAGTCTATCGGACACTTTCCAAATCAATCCAAGGACTCAATCCAAGGATTCCAACTACAGCTGAGATTATTGATTATTCTAATGTACCACATTTTTTAGATTTCCCCTTCAAGATCCTTGTATTTTTATAGTTTTTTTTTTTTTTGAAGATCTTCAAAGATAAATTACAATCTGCATTATTATTATTATTAGTAGTAGTAGTAGTATTAACTCGCATATTAGCCATAAAAATTACAAGATGAATTACTCTTAGGTGCCGAATAGACGAAGGAACCTTCATTTCTTTTGTTTTTTGTTTTTAGGAAATTTTCCGACTTCCTCAAACTCGGTTTATTAATTTTGTACTTTTTGACCGTTGCAATGATTTCCAACCCTCCATTTATTAAAACTCCTCCTTTTTATTGCATTTTAAGAAAAAAAAGTCTGATCTAACCCGACCGATTATTAAGGCTCCACCTTGTATTAAGCATCAGCTAGCAGGTATGAATCGATACGTATCTTTTATACTTCCTGGCCATCTGTCTACCATGGGGGTGTAATAGGTGTACGCCCTGTGAAAAGTATTATCTACAATATATAATTGTGTATTTGGGCAGCAATCCCTTTTTAATAGATGTTTCGTTGAACGAGACTGAGACAAGGTTGTTTTTTTTCTTTTTGTTCAGATTTTTTAAATGTCTTCTTTTCAAAACTTAATAAATGTAAAAGTTGTGAAAAGATTTATTGGTTCCAAGCACTTTCGGCTAAACTGTTAGCCATTATCAAAGATGATTTTTTTTTTTTGTGATACTACTATAATACATTGTGTGCAAGTGATATTGTAGATGGTATAAAAAATTGCTGTAAGTAGATATATTGTTAATTTCCAAATACGGCTAACTCGATTCATCCGTTACATAAGTATAATGTCTCATACCCAGGAGGGTGTCATCTCTTAGACAGCATTTCCTTATTCCGTCTAGATCAACCCTTAAGCATGCCTGAGATATCCTAAAGGGAAATTCTGTGAGAACTGAACAATGTTTATGAACTACCCCATGCATGTGTTGGTCGGGTGGGGACTATAAAAAATAAGGGTCTTGTGGGGAGAATGACTAAAAATACTTATCTCGATACACACTGTGTCATATGGCGCGGGCGGAGTCAGACATTCAGGCGATTCTAATTGCAAAATATTTTTATTTATATTTTTAATACGATTTTTGAGTTTATATTTCAAATATCCCACATTTTTGCACTCATGTTTATATGTAATTTTAATGCAAAATCTTCCTGATCGAAGATTCCCATGAAATATTCCAGCTTTTAATAACAAAGTATGTTATTAATATCGGTTCCCGCTTGAATGCTGACATTAAATGAAGTTTTATATCGATATGTACCTAAGAAAACACTGATTGTATCTTACTTATTATAAAACGCAGGTTGTGTGTGTGTGTGTGTGTGTGTGTGTGTGTGTGTGTGTGTGTGTGTGTGTGTGTGTGTGTGTCTGTAACGTTTATATGTTGGATCGAATTTCCTACTTTTTTTAGCCGATTTCAACAAAACTTCACAGGACTACATAAAATGACCTTGTGGTGGTTCTAACGGGGGTCGAAAATGGGAAAAATACAGTTGTTTTTTAATAAAATCAATTTGAAAACACGATTAAGACACATCGTGAGAATGAAAGGGGGACAACTCACCCACGAAAATGTAAACAAAAGAGCATAGCATGATGAAAAAGACGCCGAACTTGACGAAAACAAAATTTTATCGTCTAATGTTCATATTATTATTAAAGAGGAAAGATCAAAGTATTTTTGGGGTATTTTTTTACATTTTTTAAT